AAAAAAAAAAAAAAAATTCTGATTTTTCCCTAGAATCCCCAAGTCTGAATTTTCAAACATTGTGAATTCAATCAAAAATTTTAAAAGACACCGTGCAGAACAAATAGGTGCCTCATGGCTTGCCAGTTTCTTTAATATACCTCTTTTACATTTCAGAGTGTCCTTTCTAGTTTTCTGGGATTTAGTATATGAATTCACCATCTTCTGATTCTCCTCCCCCAATTGCATGACAGCTTTTATTCTTCTTTCAGCTTTTCTCTTAACACACTACAGACTATTTTTCATTATTTTTAGGTTATTATAAAGAAACGGTTCCATATACTACTTTATTTACCTTGACCCAAGGCCCACTAATGTATAATAAGTAAAACTGTAAAATCGGTCCTTTCATCTGCTGTGGTTATCAGTTGTTCTTGAGGGTGAGTGACAATTTCATGGTTGGAGGCCAACTCTTCTTCCCTTCTCTCTGCAGCCGTCATTTCACCAAGCTGATAATGTTCGGGGAACCCGCCATCACGGGCTGGTGGAGAGGCCATCCAGGAACCGCTTCCACCCCCTGCACCGAAGGTCTGGGGACAAGCCAGGGCGACAAATATCCTTTTTTACTCTTCAAAGGGAGTGTGCATTCTGAAATGTTTGAAAAGTGTTCAGGATTTATCTTCCCTGCAATTCTCCTTTGGCCTCAAAATCTTCATTTATCTGATGAAAGGAGGCAATACAAATAAATGAGTTGGAAACGAGAAACATCTCTGCAGTCAGCATTTGGAAACATCATTGTAGGTGTTTATGATAGCATCAATAAAGTTCAGTTTAACGAAATAACAACAAAAACAACCTGTAATTCAGTCCCATTGCAGGGTGTTCTGAGCATTTTCTCCAGAAACTGGCCAAGTTAAAGTTAAACCTGCCTTTGAATCAGGTTAGAGAGACTTAGTTTATCTAGCAAAAATGGACATACAGATATGTGATTTACTTGTATTTCTTTTGATCTGCTGACCTGCTTTTGGAACTTACAGATGAAATTTCATATGATTTTCTATTTGTGATGTTTCAAACTCAGTAAGTGATAACTAAAATAAACCCAGAATATAGGAAAATCTCATGCAGTGATGTAGAGTCACACCAAACTCTATGCTGTTAAGTAGAAATAAAGGAAAGGAAATGGTGAATTCACCGGACAGTTTCATTTAATCAGTGCTGTTTATGGGGCGGCAGTGGTGGGTGCTGCTGTGCGACCAGCATTTTGCCGAAGGCTTTGGGGAACAGAACTGAGCTGGATTTTTTGGGAGAGGACACAGAAGTGTGCCAAGAGGGACTGTGCTCTCACTTCATTCTTCTCAGTACTCGGTCGCAGGGGTGGAGGAAGGAGAAGAAAGGCGGGGTGGGTCTTGCTGCGGAGAGCTGAATTCCTGGCAGTGATGGTAGAGCTGGCTTCACAAGCCTAGAAACCAGGAAGTGGGGGCAGGGCACTCATGTTTACTGAGCACCTACCCATGCCAGGCACTGTGATGGGCAATTTATGTGTCATTTAGTCCTCAAAAACTCACTGAGTCGTTTATTTTTTTAACCCTCATTCTCTGATGAGGAAACTTGAGTGTGTGGTGAAGTAACTTGCTCAGGATTCAGACCAGGCCCAGGTGATGGCCCAGCCTGTGCTCTACCCTCCCCATGCCACCTGCGTCCACTCGCAGTGAGGAGGACCTTGTACAAGGGAGCCAGGAGTTGTGGGGGTACCCTAGGGAAACCCTAACTTTTCTTGCCTTCAAGCTTCTTGCAGTTTTTAATGTATTTGGAGGCAAGGATAATGACCCCAGGGAATGTTTGTCTCTCCCCTTTTTCCCACCCCTAGGGACACACCACATTTGGTCCACAGAAGGACCGACTTCTGATTTTGTATATTATGTGGCTGTTATCAAGGAAAGTAAAAATGATAAATGATCTTGAGAATCTATTCTGGAATGTGTGATAACTTTGACATTGAATGAAAAAGGCAAAAGGAAATGGAGGCAATTCATCAGCAAATTTGCACATGTCAGGATGGAGTAGTACCTCAAACCATTGTCCAAATTGCCAAGAATGTTCAGGCAGAAGACTTTGAGTGTTTCTTTGCTTGATTTAACAATGTATATTTTTTTGGCCGGTCACGGTGGCTCATGCCTGTAATCTCAACACTTTGGGAGGCCGAGGCAGGCAGATCATGAGGTCAGGAGATTGAGACCATCCTGGCTGACGTGGTGAAACCCCGTCTCTACTAAAATTACAAAAAATTAGCCAGGCGTGGTGGCGGGCGCCTATAGTCCCAGGCTGAGGCAGGAGAATGGCGTGAACCTGGGAGGTGGAGTTTGCAGTGAGCTGAGATCGCGCCACTGCACTCCAGCCTGGGCAACAGAGCGAGACTCCGTCTCAAAAAAAAAAAAACCAGTGTATATTTTTTCAGTTCTCAGTTCCCTCTTTCTCCTGTCAGTACTCTCATTTCTATATATTAGTTTAAACATTATGCTATATATGTATGTGTGTATGTATATGTGGCTATCTCAGATACTTTTGAAGTACAGTCTAAATGTATAAGCATACATAAAGCTTTACTAACCAAAATAGAGGAAGGTATTGAAAAAAGAGTAGAATGTTTATTCACTTACAAAAATTATTTGTTAAGTATGTGCTAGTGGTCAGACACCGTTTTAGACATTTTAGTTCACTGTAACATTAAACAGCATGGCCCCTGACCTCAAGTTGCCCAGAGTTCAGTGGGAGAGGCTACTCAGCAAACAAGCAGCCACGGCAGGTATGGCGTCTGCAGGGAGGCAGCTCAGGGGCTGTGGGAGCACACCAGAGGTGCAGCTTGAACCAGTCTGGGGAAACAAAGAAGGCATCCTGGGGGAAAATCTGAGGCTTGAAGGTTAAGAAGTAAGAGGATAAAGTGTTCATTCAGCAGATATTTACCGAGCCCCTTCTCTGTGCCAGGCGCTGTTCTAAGCATGGGGACCCAGTGATGAATAAGGAAGACATAGTTCCTGCTTTCTTGAGTTTACAGTCCTGTGGGAGATGACAGCCCACAGGCAATAATAAAGGAAAATGGCTTTAGATGGTAATGATTGAGATTTAAGAGAGTAAAGCAGTTGGGAGGTATGTTCCAGGCAGAGGGAAGAGAATGCAGTGCAAAGTCCCAGAAAGGGAGATGACTTCTTGTGTTCAGGGGACCCTATCTCTTATGATAGGGTATAATCTGGCACTGTATGGATCAACTTGAGAGCATAAGCAAAGCTAGTCAACTACTAAAGGAAGGGGAAGCAAAAACCAAGTTAATATGCAGAGAAATTAAAGTTGTTAGACAGTGTGAGTCAGATTCACTGATCACGAACCATGTCTTTGTGGTCTCCTAAGCCCTTATATTGGGGTCCTGGGACTGGACATCTCTTGATGCAAAGAAAGTTCTTTAGCCCAGTCTTTTGAGGAATCAAGGGTCCGTGAAATGGGATGATTTTATTTTGGTGTTAATCTATTCCAGAGAACTTAGAGGAGGAGGGCTGTGATTCCATCTTTGCTTTCACGGCCTTCATTCTGTTAGTTGTGAAATAATTTGCCTAAAATTGTGGCCTTGCACATTTGTCTATGACTTTTTAAATGAAGTTTCATCATTTGAAAGTATAAAACACTGGCTTGAACCTTTGTTAGAACAAAAGGAAAAAATCAGAATTCTCTTATTACAGCTGTTTCTCGGCTTAGGTGTTATTTAAGACACACTGGCTTAGACATGTGTTCTAAGGGTTCACTCCTATGATAGGGTGATCTCAAATAAAATGAACATGTTTAACAAATATTCTGGCTTCCTATCAGAGTGGGCAGCCACAGCACCCAGAGCTCTGGCACAGGAGATTCCTTCTGGAGTGGGCTTTGCTCTTGGCATGGGCGGCCACACAAGACCAAGGCACAGCTGCAGCTGGGCCCTGACCTAGCCCCACACAGACAGAGGAGAGGCACTGCCAGGGCTTGCTCCTGGCTGGGGGCCTGGGCTTGGGCACTTGGAATAGAAGCCCTTCTGCTCTTCTGCAGCTGCGCAATCTGTAGCAGCCCTTCTTACTCCCACTCCTCAAGGTTGGTGGATGTGCTGTGTCCCAAACACCATCGCTGAACTTCTGAACTATTAACATAAATTTATAGCAAATAAAATATTTTCTCAGACTTGTGGGTAACACACTGAGAAAGAAGGAGACATGCTGAAGAAACATAGAAAATGCCTTCCTCTAAAGGAAGTCAAGAGTTCACTAGCATGGAGGGTCATGAAGAGATGCCTAAGACCTACCAGAGTTAGGATTGATTCTCCTCTCTGGGCTGGGCCTTGCTTGGATTCTTTTCATCATAATGAGAGGAAAATGTTAGGACATTGGTTTGTAGGACACTGTTTCTTTGAAATGCATGGCCTATTTCATTTGAGAAACACCATGCTCTGTATCTCCTCTTGGAGCCTGACCATATATATTAGGGCTCTGAAAAGTCCTGCAGTTAAGAAACTTCTCATCTTTAACCCAGGATTTCTAAAACTTAAGTGATCACAAAATCCAGCTTTTACCTAACACCCATCTTATCTTGAAGGACAAGGAAACATTAGTTTTTAGAATTTTAAGGGGTAAATATTCTGACTTCACAATACCACATGCAACCTGTTTGCCTCTCATGTGCTGAGGGAAACAGGATGTTCTTATAAATGCAAGGACTAAAAAAGATGCCACTCATATCCTCCCTTACAGTTTCACTTTAAGATGCCTTCTAGTGGGACACAGTTGGAGGTAAAGGGACAAAAGGAAGTAGAATGACAAGAAACACATGGCTGAGAAATCAGGAAGGAGCCAAATTATGGCCAGTTTTCTGTATTCAATCTGAGCCTGAAACTTGTAGTGGTGGGTGGGTTCTATTAACCAGACTCTGAGTCCACTTACCCCACCAGCTGCATGGAAGGCCGCAGGCCTGCCTCGCAAACCGTGTCCCTGGCAGAACACAGAGTTCCAGAGCAGGAGAGAAATGATTGGCTTCCAGGCTGCCCCGAGCCCTGCCCAGGTACCCTGACCGCAAAGGGACGGGAAGCCAAGAGAAGGGAACCCTGCGCCTGCTCACCCAGCCGCAGGTCAAGCAGCACAAAGAAAGGGACAGGGGCGGGTCTTGTTTTCAGCTTCTGTGACTCAGTAACCCCACCCACTGGTAAACAGGCCAACTGATGTCCTCTCTTATCAGCAGACGGAGAGCTGCTCCCCTTCCTTTGGGGAAGAGTAAGAACTGTTGCATCTAATACTCCGCAGGTTGAGAGGAACCTCAACCTCAATCCCTGTGTTGATGGATTGAAGCAGTAATTCAAGGAGGAAGATTTTCCTGCACAGAACTGCAGAGGCTTGGGGAGAGAGAGAGCAGACTGGGATGACTCTGAGGTTCTAACCTGAGTGTCTTGGTGGAAGGTGGCCTTACTAAATAAGATGGACTATAAGAAGAGGAACAGATTAAGGGGACAGTGATTGGTTGGATTTTTGGTAGAATTTGAGCTGTCTTTTGGCAGAGAAGTTGAGTAGGCAGTTGGAAATATGCACTTGGAGTTCACAAATTAACTATTGGGAACTGGAGGTATGGATTTATGAGTTACTGGACTGTGGGTGATAGTGGGGCCGAGAGAAGGATGGGATTGGCCAAAGCGAGCATGGAGGACGGGGGCTCTCCACCAGGAAGACAGGCACTGGCCCTGAAGCTCTTAGGAAGCGCCTCCTAAAGCCCCTGTGCCCGGAGGCTCCTGCCACCCCCTCCACCTGCTCCCACTCTACCTGGTGCCCAGTGATCCTGAGAGCATCCTGTGCCTCTCAGAGCAATGCAAGCAAGTGTGGCCTGAGGCTGTGAGGCCACAGGACCCCAGGGAACATCAGGACGGAAGGCAAAGGGGCAGAGAGGAGTGTACAGAAGGATAAGAAAAGATCCATGTGAGTGTGGGGTTTTTTTTTTTTTAACTGTAATTTTTGTTTCCATCCATTGCAGCCACCTCTTCTTTGTTTATCTTTTTCATTATCCCTCCTCCCTGCCTTCCTTTTTTAAGTGGAAATCTTCTTGAGCCAAAGGCTTCACTAAGCTTAACTAAGGAAGCAACGGAGGAGGTGCTGATGTGGTTGTTAAAAGCCTGGTGGCCTGTGCTGCCCTTCCACTGGCACGCTGGCACCTGGCGGGGATGCCAGAAATGCTTCTTGAGTAAATGGCAAATTCAAGTTTATAAATAAGAGTGTTTCCTCTGTCTCAAGGTTGTGACTTAGGGCATGTCAGTGTTGTGGAGTAATTTAAAGCCACCTGAATGAAGTTTTCTGAAATTTTCCAGAGAACAAATAAACTTTTTCTAGATTTTCCTTGCATTAACTGTAAGTGTGTAACATGAGTGGTTCTCTTGGGTTTTCAAATATTCACTAAATTAGATGAGATAGTAAAAATTAAGAGAGCTCAGAGGTCACATCTTTTAACTTTTGATGCCTCAACCTAATTATATTAAAAATTTCCAGGAATTTACTATATTTTCACATTGTTAATATCAGGAAGGTTACAATGCTAGCTCATACCTCAACATCGAAATCACCAACATTTGATCATTACATGACTATTACACCACTGCATTCTAATTTGTATTATCAGTACTATGAAATCAGAGGTATTGAGTTTAAAGATGGCAGTGTACTGAGAAAAATGGGAAACTTCTGCTTCCTGAAATTAAGTGTTTCTGAACAGAGATTCATCAAATCTGCAGAAAAGAGAAAGGCAGATAACCATAGGTTCTGAGGCTCAGTGTTTCCTCCCTAATGGCGTGGCCAGCAGAAATACTGACAGGTTTTGTCTCTCACGGGCCTTCCTATTTATCACCTTTTCCTCTCCTGCCTCCTACTGTGGTCTTGCCTCATCTGTACTTCATGTACGTTAAGCCTAATAGTGAATGTTGAAGAAATGTCTCTCTTTGGAAATTATCTGTTTTATTTTATTGACTTAAAGTCAAATTAAGACATAAGATAATGAGACTTGTCAAAGAAAACTAATACATAGAAGATAAAACTTGCAATCCTAATGCTTCTCCTGGCAAAGAAGACATTTCCCACCAAATCACTAAGAACTCATGAGAGCCTCCGTTTTCCTAATTCCAGATTCTGTGTTTATTTGAGCTGCCCAGCCCAGGCCTGCAGGATAGGGCCCCACTCCTTCAAGGCTCCTGTTTCCTCCTGAGCCCGAGCCAATGATACCTTCTCTTATAGCCTCCATCCTTCTTCCCAGAACACTCCAGGTACTATTTTCTATTTTCTGGGGGCATTTGGCGTAGTTCACTGTTTCCTGAGAGGCAGCATAGCTTAGTGGAGAGCTCTCAGGCTTTGGTGTCAGTGAGTTGTGGGTTTGACCCCTGATCCACCAGGCCTGCTATCTGATCTTGGATTTCTCAGGTCTTCTAGAACTGAGCCTCAGTTTCTTCAGCTGTAAAATGGGGGAAATAGCTGCCTCTCAGGATTAAGATTAAATAAAGTGTGAACTCAGCACAGGCCTGGCACACAGTAGGTGCTTAGATATCTGTTTTCACATTTCTGTCTTAATGTGTAGCTTGTATCTTCTTTATTATTTCCACCTTAAGAAATAAAGGTTTGGGATGAAAAGTATTACTGGTAACTGCAGAATGTATATTTCATCCAATCAGTGATCCAGGAGACAAAAGGAATGGGCTTGGTTTGGGTGAGTGTTAAGGAGGCAATGTTCCACATAGAAGGAGAGAAAGGGGAAATGGCATTAGCAAAGGCAGAGGGGCAGGAAAATACAGGCTGTGTTTGTGAAACTCAGACAGCTGAAGGGAAGACAAGAGCAGAAGAGGCCATTGTCCCCAAATTGTAGAGCACCACAATTATTAAGTCAGTAAGTTTTGATTTTGCCTTTTAGGCTGAATAAAATCATTGAAGATTTCTTGCCAAAATAATATGATTAACAGTGTCTTCAGAAGACTATTGTGTGCAAACAGTTAACTAAACGAATGAAAACAACGCCTCTCTGCTCGGTGTGTAGTGCAGCATCCCATTTGTGTCTCCATGCGTCCGGAATATGCTCCAAGCCATGCTAGACCCAGTGAACAACACAACATTGATAAGACAGTGCCCCCAATAACACTGGAAAGTTTACGTTTCTTCACACATCTAATGCACCTCTTTTTTGGTTATAAATACCAGGAACCCACCTTAACTGAAAAACAGAAAATGTATTGGCATATGTCACTGGAAGCCCAAGGGCTAGATCCAAGGAGTCATATAATACCATTGAGACCTACCTCTGAGGTACCACTTCTGAGATGACTTCAGGCGTAACAGATAGGCTTTCTCCAAGGGGAGACCCCTAGGTTCAGAAGGCCCTTGGGCTCACCAGCCCTATTGGGGCACTCCTTTTTCCCCACTCAAAAGCACTCTCCTTGGTTCTGTTTGCATCATGAACCTATCCCTGAGCCAAACACTGTTTCCAGGGGGTAAAGTACCTAGACTAGAATCCTGGGCCTGGGTTCCTCATGTGTGGCACAGAGGGAATGGCAACGTTACCAGGTTTGGAGCGAGAGTGGAGACAGTTCCTGCAAACAAAAGGTGCCAGGCAGGCAAAACATAATAAACACCCCACAAAAAATCATGCAAAGAAAACACTGGTTAGAAGACAGCAGAATAGGCTGTCCTTGAGGAGGGGTGATAAGAGAAAGCATGAAGGAAGAGCTGTCAGGTACAGGGATAAAGAACCAAAAACTCAGTTGTTTTACCTGTCCGTGAGTCCACCTTGCTAATTCTGCTTCAACTTTCCATTAATTTGTATTTTTCCTTTATTAAAAATTCTACTTTGATGGTAGTGCTTTTGGAGCCAATTATTCCTCACAGCCTCTGGATGAGAGTTGGCCAAGGTAAGCAAGCCATACTTTAAAAGATATAATGGGCATGTGTTACTTTTAGATAATTTCACTTTATCTACTTTGAATGTTGTTTGGAAATTGCTAATATAAAGCATAGAATCCTGTTTTCTCTTATAACATTTAATTTCAGTGGGAGGATCATTTGAGACCAAGAGTTTTGAGGCTCTAGTGTGCAATGATGGGGTCTGTGAATAGCTACTGCACTCCAGCCTGGGCAGCATAGCAAGATGCCATCTCTTAAAAACAAAAACAAAAACAAAAAACACCTTATTGACTGGGCACGGTGGCTCACGCCTGTAATCCCTGTACTTTGGGACGCTGAGGCGGGCGGATCACGAGGTCAGGAGATTGAGACCATCCTGGCCAACATGATGAAACCCTGTCTCTACTAAAAATACAAAAATTAGCTGGGCGTGAGGATGTGTGCCTGTAATCCCAGCTACTTGGGAGGCTGAAGCAGGAGAATTGCTTGAACCAGAGAGTCGGAGTTGCAGTGAGCCGAGATCATGCCACAGCACTCCAGCCTGGTAACAGAGTGAGACTCCATCTCAAAAAACAAAAACAGAAACAAACATCTAAGCATTTCCAACGGTAGGCTTATACGAAAGTCTAAAATGAAAAGTTATTTAAAGAAATCTAGATCTTCATATTTAAAACCAAATAGAAACACATTTGGAATATGTTTACCAGCAGAATATGGCATTCTTATGTTTGAGACTTAGAAAAATAAGCATTTTTTCTCAGAATGTCTTAGTAAGCTGCTGAAAAGGACAAAAGATTCTTAAAATGGTAATTTGCGCAGTGTATTTGATTTAAGGTCTCTTTGAGTATTTTTGTACCCAATACAGAGGGTAACAGAAAATAGAATTAACTGAGAAAAAGCCCCTGCAGCATCTGTTGTGTGCCTGGTATCATTTTCAGATCACCAAGTCAGATTCAGGAGGCGTTTAAAATGTGTGTATCAAAAATATTTAGCTCTCCGGATTGAAGTCTACTCTCCATCCATTCTCTGGGCAAATACTGACTGAGCACTTACTGTGTATAATGTAGTCTGGGTCTGGGGAAGGAAATAAAGATGGGTAAAAGTGCGTCCCCACCTCAGCTAGGTTGTCCGCCACCCTCAAGAATCGTGGGATCCAGGGTTGTAGAATAAATACAGTATTTTATTACATCAGTAAAAGGCATCTCCAAACTGATATTTTTCTTTTATGTATCCAAGAAATATCTTCTGCTTTTCAGAGCACCAGGATTGGCTAGACTTAATATTTTCATACCCTGGGCAACTGTAACAATTCTCTTCCTCTTCATGTCCGTTGGTAGGGGAATAAAAAATTTTTGCATCCAAGATTGCATGTAGGCTCCCCCTACATGTATACTGAACTCCTCATCTGCCCAGCTAGCTAATCCTGTTCCTTACGGGTTTGTAGTAGTTTTTATACTGGAAATCAAAGATCACAGGATTGGAAGGATCATTGAGTCTTACCTCATTTTAACAATGATGAGCAAAATGAGTGAGGTGTGCGGTATTTTTAAGTGACTTGCAGAGCAAGGTGAGTAGAAGAGCCAGTTCTCAAATGCAAGTGCTGAGACCCTCCTTTGCTGTCGTGGATTGACTTCTTTTCCTTTTATGTTGTTCTGGTTTTTAAAGGCAGCAGCCTCCTTGGAAAGACGAAAAGCATCCTGGGTTCAGGCTGACATCTGCACTTAACAGGTACATGGGTTGTTTCCTGGTAGGAGTAGATTTTAAAGCAGCTTAACCGTCCTGATATTTTTTACATAGCAACCAGTTGCCAGAGTGTGTTTATGTAAGCTGTGTTGATACATATTCAAAACAAAACCCACCATTTTTTGAGTGTCTACAGGGGGCAGTATAGAGCACACGAGGTCTGGAATGAGACTACCAGGGTTTGCGTCTTACTGTATGACCTTGAGCAGATTTTTTAACTTCCGATTGCCTCAGTTTACTCATTTGAAAAATGGAGATAATGGTACCTAGATCATGGGTTGGTTGTGAGGGTTGAACAAGATAAGACCTGGGAAGCACACGTGCTGAATAAACATCAGCTATTATCATGATCACTGTGGGCCAGACTCTAGGAGTAAGAGTTCCACCTCAGTCATTTTTTTCAATCCTGACAACACCCTACAAGAATGAGTATTATTTTCCATTCTAAAAGGTTAAGTGACTTGTTTAAGGGCTTTAGCTAATAGGTAAAGGACTAGGATTGAGGAAAAAAAAAAAAAAGCAACTGAGCACAGTAGCTCACACCTGTAGTCCCAACACTTTGGGAGGCTGAGGCCAGAGGATCACGTGAGCCCAGCAGTTTGAGGCCAGCCTGGGCAAGATGGTGAGACCCTGTCTCTATGGAAAAAAAAAAATAAGGGGGCGTGGTGGCACGTGCCTGTGGTTCCAGCTACTCAGAAGGCTGAGGTGGGGAGAATCACCTGATCCCAAGGAGGCTGAGGCTGCAGTGAGCCCTGTTTGCACCATTGCACTCCAGCCTGGGCAACAGAGACGCTGTCTCAAAATAAAAAAGAAACCTGATGAATGGTGCAAAATTTTAAATATTTTTTTATTTTATTTTATTATTATTTTTTTGAGACAGTCTCGCTGTCTCAAAACAGAAGTGTTGTAAAAGGCCTGTGTTGCCCATCCTCAGCTTCACTTATTATCAGCATTCTGCCAGTCTCTCCAAACCTACCCCCCATCCCAATCACATGATTGGCTAGATATAGTATCATACCTGGAAATATCTCCAACAGTGTAAGGCCAACGAGAACCTTTTTTAAAAAACATAACCACAATGCCGCTATTACACTTAACAAAATTAAAAATAACTCCTTAATATAGTTTAATGCCCGGTCTGTATTTAGATTTTCCCACTTGGCTCTGCATTTGTTTGATATTCTCTCAAGTCTCTGAATCTAGGCTGGAATCTGAACCCAGGTCTCTCTGATCTCAGCAGCCATGCTCCTTCTGTTGCACTATGGGTTCTGCCCTTGTCTGCCTCTTCCCTCCTCTGAAGCCACGTGGCTTCATAGCCACCTGAGGCTGGCACTGGACTGAACCACAAAGAAGCACTGTAGGCTAATGAAGTTGCTTACCGGTTCTTTTTATGGCCAACAGTTTGACCTTATGATGAGATAAATAAATAATCATCTCTTGCAACCAAAGCTGTGTAGACATTGAAACTATCTGGGAGAATTTCAGAAATTTGCTATACATTAGTGGCTCCAACATTTTCTCTTAGGACCACTTTACAGTCTTAAAAAATACGGAGGCCTGGTGCAGTGGCTCATGCCTGTAATTCCAGCACTTTGGGAGGCCAAGGCGGGCGAATCACCTTAGGTCAGGAGTTCAAGACCAGCCTGGTCAACATGGTGAAACCCCGTTTCTACTAAAAATACAGAAATTAGCCAGGTATGGTAGCGGGTGCCTGTAATCCCAGCTATTTGAGAGGCTGAGGCAGGAGAATCACTTGAACCTGGGAGGCGGAGGTTGCAGTGAGCACCACTGCACTGCAGCCTGGGCGACCAGAGCGAAATTTCATCTCAAAAGTAATACTAATAAAATAAAATAGGCTGGGCGCAGTGGCTCATGCCTGTAATCCCAGCACTTTGATAGGCTGAGGCAGGTGGATCACCTGAGGTCGGGAGTTCGAGACCAGCCTGGCCAACACAGTGAAACCCTCTCTCTACTAAAAATAGAAAAGTTAGCTGGGCATGGTGACGCATGGCTATAATCCCAGCTACTCGGGAGGCTGAGGGAGAAGAATTTCTTGGACGCGGGAGGTGGAGGTTGCAGTGAGCTGAGATCGCGCCACTGCACTCCAGCCTGGGCAACAAAGCGAGACTGTCTCAAAAAAATAACAATACAATAAAATAAATAAAATAAAAATAAACCCTCAAAGAGTATTTGTTTACGTGAGAATATCTATTGATATTAGAAATTAAATTGAGAGTTTTTTTAAAGATACTAGTGAATTAAAAAATAAATTAATAGCCCATTATACATTAATGTAAATTATATCTTTTTGAAAAGAAACACAAAAAAATTTTGAAAATAGTGGCAATGTTCACCTTTTACAAATCGCTCCAAGGCAGCTGGGTTGTCTGCTCCCGTGCTTAGCAGTGGGGGCATCACACCTCACGTGGCTTCTGGGGAAGCCCACCGTGCTTGGGAGAGGCAAGAGTGAAAACCAGAGGACAATTTACTGTCATTTTGAGAGTAGGTTTGACCTCACCTGCTTCCTGGAAGGGTTTTGCGAACCCCTGCTCTAAGTGACCCTTTACTTAGGAACAGCTGCTCTCAGGTGGAGAAAACCTAGTACAGCCACAGGCTAAACTGGCCACAGCTGGCTTCTGAGCTGGGAAGACTAGGGGCTGTTAGACGGAAGCCGTGCATCCGAGGCCCGCCTTGTCGAACTCGATCGCCATGCTGTCAGCTTCAGCATATGAGGCGGAATGAGTCTAAATTAAAATATTCTGGAGTGTGGGTGATCCTCAGAGGCTGTTATTGATATAAAGAACTTCAGGTAGGTCCTAACTCCTTATTTGATGGATGATTACAAATCAGTTATTCTTGCCTTCTTTCCTGTTGGTAATATTCAACAAAGACTATTGCATTTTCACTGAGGAAAATGGATTTTCAGCCAGACTCTCTCCTCCCCCTCCTTAGGACCAATTCTGATTCTGCTCTTCACACGAGTGCTCTGAGCACCAAGCCCCAGGACCCCTATGGAGGAGGGGGCCAGTCGGCCTGGCCTGCCCCATACATGGGTAAGACACACAGGCCACTGCTGACAGCAGCTGTGCTTGCTCATTCTGTCCTAGGGCCCGAGGGAAAGAGAAGCTGAAGTGGTGTTTGCACTTCCCGGTTCAGTGGTCTTAGAGAGGCGGCTCGTGGCAGGGAAGCGTGTGTGTCCATGATGCAGTCAGGATGGAGCTCCCGGCATCCCCTGCCTCTGCCCTGCTCCCTCCACAGCACGCTCTCCCTGTTGGCGTCTCTTGGCCCTCTTCTGGGCACCCATCATCTTCCAATAACTTCCTAACTGGTCTCCTGATTTCCAGTCTCACATCCCTTCAATCCAGTTTTATGTTAGGTTCCCCAAGAGTCCTCTTTCCCCACCCAGGATCTGAACAAACTGAGAAATAAAACCAGAAGTGACAGACAGAGCTAGATATCACCTTTATTACTAATAAGACCAGGTTGGAGGAAGTGACTGTCTCTGTAGGTCAGTGGGCCTATTGAGACTGAACCCCAGCGTGAGGCTGACTCCCCTTGAGTGTCCGGCAGCACTGGCCAGTGTGGTCCCCTGGGAGGAGGGGTCAGGCAAGCCTAGGGGAGGGAAAGGTGGAGCAGAGGCCTGCTGCCTGAGGGAAGGCATGCCCTTGAGAAGGGGAAGAGGAGACCAGACTGGAACTGTGCATCACCTGCTCAGTTGCCCCCAGTGTGAGTAAGGGGGTGGAGAGAGGCCAGGAGTAACCTGGAGTGAGGAAGAGGCCCACTCATGCCATCTCACAGCTCTGCTTCCAGAGTGAACCCAAACCTGATCATCTTGCTCTCCCGCTTAAAATCCTCAATGCCACCCCTCACCTTCAGGAGAAAGAGCCCAGATCTTCTTTGGAATGACATGAGCCCCAAGGCCTGGCCCCTGTCTGCCTCTCTCCCTTTTCTCTCTGCTCCCCCGCCTCACACCCAAGGTAGCCATGCGAACCACTTTGGGTTCTACTGGTGTGTCTTCCTGTTCTGTCTCTTCCTCTTTCACTCACTCCTGGCCTTCCTGGCCAACCTCAGCTCGTGTGTGTACTCATGTCTGTGGAGCCGTCCTTGACCTTCCTCCCTCTCAGCTCAGAGTTACCGTGTCCTTCTAACATCCCAGACTGCTCTCTTAGCACCTGTAATACTTGGCTGCTTTTTTATGTGAACATGCATCTCTTTCTCTGCTCAGTGTAGATTTCTTGAAGGCAGCATCTTAATGGTCTTGTTCTCTCCAGCCCCTAGCACAGTGCCCAGCACAGAGGAGCCCGTACTGATGGAGAAGTGTGAAGAATCACACACTGGCTCACATGTGCACAGCATTTGCCAAAATACCCTCTCGGTGCTGGTACCTGACCTGTACATGAAGTGAGGCTGGTCATTCAGACACATTTCATGTCTACCTTTCTGGGGTTTATAATCTAGAAAGAACAATGGTCTTGAATTATCCATTCCATATGCAGACTGACTCTTGCCCAGAAATTTTCAGGGCCCTGTATTTGTTCTTGAAACAGGAATAAATACATCTTTAGCCAAGAAACCAGCTTTTCTGGTTTTCTTTGCTTTTTGGAGAGTTTAAAGCCTAAATGGCCTGTGTTCCTTCTAGGAGAACATTCATGATCTTATTTCTTTGTATATAGCAGGGACAGGATTGAATAGTAATTGTTGATATATTTGTGCTATTGGTGCAATTTGGAGAAGACTACATTTGCTAAAATGATTGTTTGCTTGTAAACTATGAGAGCTTTCAGAATTGGTTAGGGACATCTACCCATGCTTCCATACATGGGAATATGAAAGTTGGCAGTGATGTTGAAATTGATGTTGGAATTGGATATGGGTCCACTGCTCACTGCTTAGAGGAGCAGGGTGTGTGGGAAGAGGGATTAGTTTAGTTTCAGGATAGGTAGAGATGGGAGTATGTAAACAAAGCCTAAAAAAAGCAGAAGCTGTAATCAGGGGGGGCGCCTGTGAGCACAGCAGGATCCTAATCTCCATGGACTCGGAGCCAGCTAGACAGACAGATTTTTACCCTGGAGCCCCTGCATTTCTGCCTCTGCCATTCCTTTCATTTACATTGCCCTCTGCAAAGTTTACGCTTCTCTAGAAAGGGCCAAAGGCCTAGAGAAACAAGGGAATCACAGGTAATTCAAGTGAGGATTTTTTGATGCTTGCATGCCAAGAAAAAGAAAGTAACTAAAGAAAGCAATTACCTGGGTTGAAGTATTCATGCTGAGTGATGTAGCCTCTGAAAGAAGAGATGAGAAGTGTCAGAAAGGGTAAGTGAGGATAGAATAAGAAAAGCAAAGGAATGTAAACATTGGTCCAGGTAGACGGAGCAATGAGAAAAACAGGAAGAAAGAAAGAAATCCTGGAGCAGGGTTCCTGCGTTGACTTGAGAATCGTGATGGTCTCTCCTTTTCAAATCAGCAGTTAGAAATTGTTGGGCTACAATATTTGAAAACCATGGAGGGTGGGCTGGCCTCCAGCTCAGATGTCTGAACTGTGTGCCTGCTCCTGCAGTTGCCTTGCAAGTATAGCAGAACTCAGAAACACATCCTAATATGGATGTGTTTACATGGGAAAGCCAGTGTTTAAAATATTATTCAAGTCTCCAAGGATGGAAATTATTTCTGGAGAATTATATTTGTTGGTGGGAGCTATTTTAAATAGTTTCATGTATTTTCCTCCTGTATTTCATTAAAGTTTTTCATTTTCTTTCCTTTTGGATTTTAAAAATACCAACTAGCTTTGCAAAAAGGTATTTCTTATAGGACCAACCAAATAAAGATTTAAAAAGTGATGGGAAAATATAATTGAAGCCCAGAACTGGGTTGTATGTTAGAAGCAATAATAACTGTTCTTTCCCTGGGAATCTCTCCTGAGCAAAATGATGTAGCCACACTTTTTTTTTGTTATTGTTGTTGTTGCTGTTGCTGTGAGCCGATGATGAGAGCATCTGCTCATAGCTTAACTACATGAGCAGTAAGCTGTGATACATTCATGAGTGGAGATTTGTGTCACAAGAAAACAAAGCCTGATACATGTTGAGTAATTTTCATAATGGCTATTGAGTTGTATGACAATTAGGCATAAATCATAAGCAGTTGGTATAAATGACAGAAATAAATTTTTATGGAGCCAAACAAGATTTTTATAATTTATCTCTTTTTGTTTAATTATTCAGAATCTATAAAGAGGGAATGTTGGCCATTTCCCTGGCAGCATGTACAGCTTAATGACCATTGCACACATACATGCAGATAGGGAAGCACAGGACTCTCTGGGACACATGCCCTGTCCCATAGCCTAGAACTGTCCCCTAACACCCCTCCTGTCATCGGGCTTGTGGAGGAGGGGCTGGGGTGGTCCTCTTCCTTTTAGGGAGCAGTCTAGAGCTAAGGGGAGAAGAGTGTGTAATAGTTGTCTTCTCTGCATCCAGGGCTGTAGATGCTGAATATTGCCATCTTTGGGGACCACAGTACTCAACTCCTTAGGGTGGAGGGGGCTTGGCATGCCTCGGACCCAGTGACCTTTCACCTACCGATAAACTTTGACCTGCAGAGTTAAGGAGAAGGTTTACAATGCAAATAACCTTGAAAGATGTAAGCCTGTTAATTGCTTAATTGGATTGGACAGGGGTACAGTGGCAGGTACAAGCATCCCAGATCTGAAGAGGGGCAAAAAGAGTTTCACCCGGGGACAGGAGGGCCCAGAGCCGGGAGGCTGAAACACCAGAGGCCTCCTTCAGGACACTGGTTAAGGGGTCTTCCCCTTGCCTTCCCTTCTACTTAGCAAATCAGGGCTGTGTGAGGAATTATTTTAGATTTGCCAGGCATGGGAGCACACAGAAGGAACATGGTCTCGGTTCCCTTAGTTAGAAGAGACCAGCCCTTGGTGACTCTGAGGCTGTGAGGTTTCCTGGAACACAGATGCAGCCTTGGTCATTGCTGTCCCATCCCTGTGGGACTGATAAAATGAGTGTTCTGTTTCCAGATAGCCAGTCACAACTCATTCCTTTTTCTTTTTAACCCTTCATTTGTAGTGCCATCTTGTGGGTTTTTAATTTAGTAGTAAAAATCCAGGCTTGGATATTTTGATGATATGTTAGCTTGATGCCAGAGTATCAGTCATTGCTACCACCACCCTTCTGGTCACTGCAGCCCAAATCCTGAGAGCTGCATCTAATTACTCCCATTCCCATGCCCCCACGCCCATTCAGTAGCCGAGTCCTGTTCATTTTATCCCCGCAGCATGTCTCAAATCTGCCTCTGGTTTTCTGTCCTCACTGCCAGCATCCTACTTGGTTCCTGTTTGCCTTGGACTATTGCATTGGTTTTCTCCTCTGCCTCCAAGCCTTAATAAGGCTTTCTCCTTTCAATCCACCTCCTACTCTGCTGCAAGAGCAGTCTCTGAAGCTTAGCTCTGATCATGTCACTTCTCTAACCGAAACCTTCCGTCCCCCACATCCTGCCAAATGACCAGCAGCCTCCTCCAGTCCAGCCCATCTCCCAGTCCTCCCACCATGTGCTGCAGCCACATTCTTCCATCTTCCTTCTCCTTCTTTTCCTTCCGCAACCACCCCCCACTCCTCCTCCTCCACTGCTGCCACCGCCGCTGCCACCTCCTCCTTCTCCTCGCACTGAGCATCCCCTTCAGCTTCGCTTCCAGTTGTCTAAATCTTCCAGGTACTACAGCAAATTGGTTAGGGATATGAATGTTCTGAAGACACACAGGCCAGAGTTCTAGTCCCAGAACTTACTAGCAGTGTGATCTTGGGGATGATAATAGCGCCTACCTCACAGAGTTGCTGTGGGGATCACATGAGATCACCTGTATAAAGTGCCTGGCAATAGTAAGTGAGCCGTCAGGTTGGTTGTTGGTTATCCTCTTCTTCATCATTATCCTTCAATGAATGATGCCTCAGGTACCACCTCCTCCATGAAGCCTTCCTTCTGTTCCAGTCTGAGGAGAGCATGCACTAATGGGGCTGTCACATGGGGTGTCTGCCAGCCACTCAGGCAGTTTCACATAGTAACCCTCAGTTGAGTCCTCCTGTTTCAGGGACTGGTCAGCCTTAGTAATTAAACCTCGAGTGATTGGTGTCTTGATGATGAAGAGATGCTTCAACACGCCATACCAGATTGCTATGTAAAAACTAGTTTTAAATTTTTAACAGGATAGTTACTTTTTAGTGATCAGAATGAAGTTCCCTGCCCTTTCTTAATATGAGGGTCTCAGGAAAGCCAGAATAGGAATCCGAAGCTCCTGTCCTTTTGACGGTACTGGTTGTAGAGCCACAGCTTTTCTCTCTCCACATCTCAGTGTTCGCCTGTTCCCACTGCCTGTCTTTAGATGGATTAAATGGCTGATTAAGTAAGAATGGGCCAAAGGGCTGGGCGCGGTGGCTCACACCTGTAATCCTAGCACTTTGGGAGGCCGAGGCGGGTGGATCAAGGGAACAGGAGATCGAGACCATCCTGACCAACACTGTGAAACCCCATCTCTACTAAAAAAAAAAATACAAAAAGTTAGATGGGCGTGGTGGTGGGAGCCTATAGTCCCAGCTACTCAGGAGGCTGAGGCAGGAGAATGGTGTGAACCCAGGAGGCGGAGCTTGCAGTGAGCCGAGATCGTGCCACTGCACTCGAACCTGGGCCACAGAGCTAGACTCTATCTCAGGAAAAAAAAAAAAAAAGAATGGGCCAAGGACCTTCTGCAATAGTCTCCTGAGACGATGATTAAAAATGTAGGCCAGGCGTGGTAGCTTACACCTGTAATCCCAGCACTTTGGGAGGCTGACGCTGGCAGATTACCTGAGGTCAGGAGGTTGAGACCAGCCTGGCTATCATGGTGAAACCCCATCTCTACCAAAAAATACAAAAATTAGCCGGGCCTGCTGGTGCGTGCCTGTAATCCCAGCTACTGGGGAGGCCGAGGCAGGAGAATTGCTTGAACCCTGGAGGTGGAGGTTGCAGTGAGCCAAGATCATGCCACTGCACTCCAGCCTGGGTGACAAAGTGAGATTCTGTCTCAGGAAAAATAAAAAAATTGTAAAAATGTAGATTCCTTGGCTGATTCTCACACCTTCTGAATCAAAATCTTTGAGGGTTGGCCCAATCTGCATTTTAGCAGGCTTACCCAAGGGCTCTTTATGTGCTCTAAAATAAAGCTTTCAATCACTTACTTACATTCTGGTTCTGTGGGCCTGAAAGAAATTCTGTGTTTGTGTGTCTGCTTAATTCATCGGCCTCTTTGTACTCCTGGGGACTCTTCGTGTTGCCCCCGCCCCTGGGCTCTGTTAAAATTTTGTATCTTCTACCTGTGTTACAGAATGTGCTACTGTGTTACCATGAACTGTCTTCTCACCTACACTGTATCACCCAGCCCCACCTAGCACTTAATGTAGAAACTTATTAAATATGGGTTGAGTGAATGGTTATTAGACATTTCATTTAAATTGTATAGACTAATCAGGTTAACCTGTAGGTTAACCTTAGCCAAAAACTTATCTAAAATGTAAGTAAGCTATACTTAAATGCTTAGAACTTAATAATATATCCTGATTCTATACTGAAAACTTATTTGGTATATTTGATTGCTCTTAGGGGAATGCTAAGATACTACATTCTTGGCACGGTTCTTTAGTTTTAGCTTATAGCAATAGGAAATACTATACTTTGTCATCTGCAGTATAATTTATGGATTAAAAATACTTCATTCAGCCAGAGCTTATTCCAAGTCAAAGTTTTAAAACTTTGTGAATAGCTATCTCATGTACCCTTTAAATTAACTTAGACTCCAGATAAATTTTATTCTTAAAATAACTTCACTGCATGAGAAATATATATAATAGCATACAGCATGGAACTTCGGATTTGTTCCTGTAGACACCCATGGTAAGTATCAAACAGTGATGCAGGCTTTTTGAGTTACCTGCTCTTACCCCCATGATAAAGCATTTGGAAGAGAATTTGCATCTATACTTCTTTACTTTGTGGTTTGAATAGAGATTCTCAGGTTTTGTAAAAATTGTTCTTTCAGGACAGAGACAGTAAGAAAATTTAAGACACAATTTTAAAGGAAAAAAAAAGGAAACAAATTTAGTTTCAAATTAACTATGCCTATTTTTAGTATAAATGATAAAGCACCTTAAATGAAAATCAGTGTATCAAAAGTGCCTTAGAATTTTCAAAATTCTATTTCAAATTATAAAGAGTTACTAATTCATAAATTCATGAAAATGAAAGTACCACATAAAAGCGTTTTCTTTTTTTCTTTTTCCTTTCCCAGTAGGTTTCTGTGATGGTGAGAATAATGGACATGGGGAAGGTATGAACTTATTTTACCTACTTATATCGGAGTGGGATGCTGAGTAGTGGATATAACCTTTCAATAGCTTTACTAATAAATATTCATGTTTTCAGGACTCCCCAGATGCTGACAACTGCTGATTGGCTTACTTTTCAGAGAGCCTTTAGAAAATTAAGGCTAGCCATGTTCAAGGCCAGGAGAAAGGAAATGTGTGGTTGCAGTACAAAGGTTCCTTTTTATCTAGGTCCCCACAGTCATAAGGTTGAGCAAGGAAGCAAAAGTTGTCATCACATGAAAATATGAATGAATTGGCCTGGCACGGTGGCTCATGCCTGTAATCCTAGCAGTTTGGGAGGCTGAGGCAGGTGGATCCCTTGAGGTCAGGAGTTTGAGATCAGCCTGGCCAACATGGTGAAACCCTGTGTCTACTAAAAATACAAAAATTAGCCAGGCGTGGTGGCACGTGCCTGTGGTCCCAGATACCCGTGAGGCTGAGGCAGGAGAATCGCTTGAACCTGGGAGGTGGAGCTTGCAGTGAGTCGAGATCGCGCCACTGCACTCCATCCTGGCGACCAAGTGAGACTCCGTCTCAAAAAAAAAAAAAAAAAAGAATGAGTTGATCACTTAAACAATTAGTTATTCCAGTAGTCTCTGCCCATTTAGAAAGCCTTCGTTGACAGATATAAATAAACAATGCCAGGAAAATGCATATTGGTTGTGAAATGAAAATGCAAACCTTACACAAGATGCTAAGTTTCGTAAAGCCAAATAAAACAGTGTTGGAGATCTATGGAAATGACACTCAAAGCCATTGACAAATGAGGGTCCAACACAGTTCATTTATTCACTTAGTACCAGGCATTGTTTTCTTTTCTCTAAATCTTTATAATCTGGAATTTAATTTTTACAATCTAAAAATAAACAACTAAATTAGGTTTATATGTCACAGAGGTGAGACTCATGGGGGGCCTGATAAATGAGGAGCATCTTGCAAGAGGCACAGCTCTCTGTCATCATCCTGCATGCTCCTTTTCTGGGCAAGCTCTTTTAGGCCATGAATAAAATCACAAAAAGTTAAAACATCAATAAACATCTAATCCATTAGAACAAAAATTAGTAAATGGCTTCAAGATTGATTGCATTCCTTCAATGCTTCGAAGAATTCCTGACAAATCTTGGATATGAAAAGGGACTAAAAGCAATGAACTCTAAGAAAACAGTCCCCATTAAGGCACTGGAGTCTGCCCCAACCGTGTTCTTACAACCAACCTCTTTGGAGAAGTAGCCTTGAGCTGTGTGATGCCACCTCACTCAGTCCTTCAAACTTTTCCCAGCATCTGACAGTACCTTTCAGGGCAATTTTTTTTTTTTTTTTTGGAGACGGAGTCTCGCTCTGTCACCAGGCTGGAGTGCAGTGGCGTTACCTCGGCTCACTGCAACCTCCGCCTCCTGGGTTCAAGCGATTCTCTTGCCTCAGCCTCCCGAGTAGCTGGGACTACAGATGCCCGCCACCACGCCTGGCTCATTTTTTGTGTGTGTTTTTAGTAGAGAAGGAGTTTCACCGCGTTGGCCAGGCTGGTCTCGAACAACTGACCTTAGATGATCTGCCCACTTCCGCTTCCCAAAGTGCTGAGATTGCAGGCATGAGCTACCACACCCAGCCTTTCTGGGCAAATTTTATTCTTGACCTCTCATTGTATTGGTTTATGAAGGCCCTCAAAGCCCATTTTCCTTGTTTCCTAGTTTGCTGAGAGCCACCTGTGGCGTCAGCATTTACCAGACACTGTTTTAAGCACCCACCAGTAGAGAAGAAAACCAAGGCTCTGCCCTCATGGAACTTACATTTCTGAAGCAGTTTATATTAATGATTAAGTCAGATAACATTTGAAGAAAATCAACAAAGGTGTTGACAAAATATGCTCTTCAAAAGAGAGTGATGTGAATATCGGGATTAAGAGAGACATCTGGGGACATTGACCAAGCCTGGCCTGGTGTAGCAGAAATGCTGTCCTGGTGGTATTGGGCAGGTTGCCTGAAGGGCATTGTATCCTCCCCTTACCATGCTGTCGAATAAGTTAGACCCCTACCCATACTTAAGTCATTTTAGAAGTCACAATTGCATTTGTATCCTCAGTTTTATTAAATACAAGATAAACTTATTTTAGAGTTTTTGTTTCAAACTCTTTTCTCAATATTTACTAGGAAAGTTTGGGCCCTGTTTCGTGTGACTTCTTTCTGGGGTCCATTATTCTTGGGTACTTGGCCATCTTTTGTGGGGCTGAGACAGGATAGTCATGACAGTCACACTGGCGCTTCTGTGGCCACTGGAACTCAACAGCATTCCTGGTTCTGAGTAGTCACCGATGTCCCTAACTTGGAATCCCCTTCCTGACATCAGATCACTTAACTCCTGAAGGCTGGTCCTTGTTTTCTGGTCTCTTACTGAGAACAAAAAGTATTTACTTGTTCTGTGACCCAGCATTCTTGTTTTACCTGGCACGACTGAGAGAGTTAAAGCGGAAAGCCCTGGAAGGGTCCCTTTATACAGGTTGTTTCATAGCATTAAAGAGCCAACAGCGGTCCAGCAGCTGCCCAGCCTCAGATCCTCTGGGTTGTTGGTTCCTCTTTGTCCCCCACTTCCATCCCACAACCAAAGAGCTTCACTGCCACCATGTCTTCCAGCTAATACTCCTCTTCTCCATACTTTCGCCATTTCATCTTTGTTGCAGGCTCTCTCCTCATCCCTCTTCTTCTGTTCTCTCCTTTGCCAAGCCTGCAGAGCCCTCCCTGCCCTGGCCTCAGTCGTCTATATTTTACTTCCTACCATCCCCTTGACTCAGCCTACACTCCAGTTGAAAAGAGTTACTCTACTCTTACCTTCCCCTCTCTTGGAATTCCCTTCTCCTGTGTCTCTAAAGGGCTCCCCCCAGTGCCCATCTCCAAAACCCTCCTGGCCTCTTCCCCGTCTGCAGTTCACCTCTCAGGAGCATCGTACCCTCAGCTCTCTCGGGCTTCCACTCGTTTCTTCCTTCAGTGATGGTTATTTATGAGTTGCCCTTATCCACTGACTAGATTACAAATTCGTGAAAGGTTGAATCCGTGTCTTACTCATTTCTGCAGTTCCCACGATAGTGCCCAAAGTGCCTTCCCTAGTACACAGTCCATGACTAAGTCATTTTTATTTGTTAAATCAGTTTTTACAAAGATAATTTGTTCAGTCAAAGGTAGGTAGGATGGATGCTTTCTTTTTTTGTTGTTGTTTATGTTTTTTTGAGACAGGCTCTTGTTCTGTTGCCCAGCCTGGAGTGCAGTGGCACAGTCATGGTTTAGTGCAGCCTCAGCCTCTCAGGCTCAAGCAGACCTCCCACCTCAGCCTCCTGAGTAGCTGGGACTACAGGTGTGAGCCGCCACACCCAGCTAATTTTTAAATTTTTTGTAGAGACAGGGTCTCACTATGTTCCCCAGGCTTGTCTCAAATTCCTGGGCTCAAGCGATCCTCCTGCCTTGGCACCATAAAGTGCTAGGATTATAGGCGTGAGCTACCATGCCCGGCCCGGATTCCTGCCTTCTCATGCAATGACTCTGCTGCTTTTTTTTTTTTTTTTCTTTAGTAGCATCTTTCCCTGGCCCATTGAAAGAAGAGAATCTGTTAAATGTTCCGAAGCCACTGCCAAAACAACTGTGGGAGACCAAGGAGGTGGGTGAACAGTACTCAGCTATGTTTGTTGTCACTGAATGTTTATACTTTGAAGTCATCGAAAAATCTTGCAGAGGTGAAAACAAGAGGAACTAGGGGAAAAGGAGAAGATTTGTCTGAGGACAGAGATAAGAATATACAAGGGAATGACATTTCAAGTAAAAATTATCACACTGGTGTCAATGAATTAGTACATTGATCTCTTGGCTTCCTAATTTTCATATGAATTGACTTATTTAAAAAAAAAAAAAAAAACCTCCTAAGTCCCCCATATCTTATTTGTTTTGCGAAAAGGTCTGAAACCTCGTTGTAAGTCATCGGCAGATTTTTCTGTTTTTTAGCCAGCACTTTATACCAGTCTCCAGCTTCTGTTCAGAATTACTGGTATACCAGACAGCCCTTTTTAAATCAAGGGCATTTGACCTGAGTCCTCCAAGTCAGTTGACAAGTCATCTGTTTTACTATGATTTCCATGTGCTTTTGAGCATTTGTATCTAAAATTGTGCTAGCTGACCTCCACCTCGGCTCTCTGTACACCTAACCCACTGTAGAAGAAAGGGAGGTCCCACGGTTCTTGTCTTGGCCTTTCTTCCCAGAGGGAAGCTGTGTTGACTTTGAAAGAAAACAGTTAATCTGTTCCAGCCCTTAAGGATACTCTATTGCAATTGCTTGTATTGCCTGTGTACTTAACTATCCCCACCTATTTAGGATCCCTTTGGCCCAGTTCCATTTTCTTCTGCCAAGTCTACCAGAGTCACCATTAGCATTACAGTTGTCTTAAAAGGTTTTTTGTAAAAGCAAGATGTATTTGATGTTTAATCATTTGGGAAGTAAAAAAGAGATATGACTTAAAATTCACATATTTAAACACAGGAGAAGCAACCACACTATGTCTTTTCCTGTGAGAGGCACATGTGGTTGTGGAGGCTTTTATCAGGGACAACTACATCTTCTCCACCAAAGAGGGCAGTGGTATGCCCTCCTCCCTGAGTACCAGGGACTGGTCTCTGGAAAGAGATGTTCACCTCCCTTGGTTCTTGTGGATTTGTAGTACTCATTCCTGTCCATCTGGAGCTTATATTCTAGTTGAAATATTTTATTTTCTTCTGACATTCATTTCTTTTTTCACCCTGTTTTGTTCTTTTATGTATTTCATTTCATCTCAAGCCAATTGGAAAAGAAATGTTTATTTAAAAGCTCTACGTCGGCCAGACGCAGTGACTGACGCCTGTAATCCCAGCACTTTGGGAGGCTGAGGCGGGTGGATCACCTGAGGTTGGGAGTTTGAGACCAGCCTGGCCAACATGGTGAAACCCCGTCTCTACTAAAAATAAATAAAACAAATTAGCTGCTGTCATGGTGCATGCCTGTAATCCTAGCTGCTCCAGAGGCTGAGGAAGGAGAATCGCTTGAACCTGGGAGGCGGGGGTTGTGGTGAGCCCAGATCATGCCATTGCACTCCAACCTGGGCAACAAGAGCGAGACTCCATCTCAAAAAAAAAAAAAAGAATCATAAAGGATGGGTGCAGTGGCTCACACCTGTAATCCAAGCTGAGAGGGGTGCATCAACTGAGGTCAGGAGTTTGAGACCAGCCTGGCCAACATGGTGAAACCCCATCTCTACTAAAAATACAAAAATCAGCCAGGCGCAGTGGTAGGTGCCTATAATCTGAGCTACTTGGGAGGCTGAGGCATGAGAATTGTTTGAACCCTGGAAGCAGAAGTTGATCGCGCCACTGCATTCCAGCCTGGGCAACAGAGTGACACTCTGTCTCAAAAAAATAAAAAGGAAAGAATGGAATCACAGACTGGGTTAAATAACTAATATGGCCTGTACTTTTGAAATTGAAAATAATCAACTTCTTGATATGGCAAATACTCCCTATAATCTGTTGCAGACCATAAAGGCAGACGCCACTTCTCAGCCTCACCTCACAGACAGAGTAGGCGGTGTGACCAGCATAGTTATTGAGACTTAGGAGAAAGCCCATTGGAAAGCTTCTAGGAAACTTTGGTTTTCAGATAAAAGGAACATATCCAGCTGCCACTAGCCCCTTTCTCCTTTGTATCTTGAATGCAAATATGCCTGTAGTCCCAGCTACTCGGAAGGCTGAGGCAGGAGAATCGCTTGGACCCAGGAAGCAGAGGTTGCAGTTAGCCAAGATCACACCACTGCACTCCAGCCTAGACAACAAGCAAAACTCCATAAAAAGCTCTATGTGTAAAACATTGGTCTTTTAATATTAATCCAGAAGGTAAATTGATAAGGCATCAAATTAAGAAAATATATTAATATTATGCCTCCCTTAGGCCTGGAAGTTTGAGTTTAAAAAAGTCTTGCCAAAACCCAAAAGGCTGCTCTGTGAGGACGCTGCTGACACGCGAACTCTCACTTGCACCCAATAGAGCCTCAAGATCCTTACGAAGACACTTTTCAAAAACTTGAATTTGGCTTTACAGTAAGTAAACCCAGCTTTCGTTGTCTCTTCTCAGATTCAATCCCTGTCAGGACGCCCTCGATCCTGTGATGTTGGAGGTGGCAAGTAAGTAATATTCTTTCTGTTCGTGTTTCAGGGACTATCTTGAAGGTTTTTCCCAAAAGGCAAGTCCCACTGCTTTGTTACAGAACTCTCAGAAACGTAACTTGCTATGTATAAATTGAAAGTCAACTGCATTTTCATAAAAACAGCCACTCTCTTTTGATACTCATATTTCATCTGTTTAAAGTAATTAAATTACGTAACTATAATAACAAAAAAACTGACATAAGTATGTTTGAGAATCACACAACTGACTCTTGGTAAATACACAACTCTCCGGGTAGAAGCAGCGTCAGAAGCAGAAATGTGCGGGAATCGAGAGGAGCCTACCAGCCTCGAGCTGTGGCAGGCTGTGGGCATCGGTGGCATCTTGGCCATTGGAAAAGGGAAGCAGCAGTTCACCTGGCAGCTGGGTGGCACAGAAGTTAATTAAGAGAGTTTCTGTGAGTGTACTTAATGTCACTGAACTGTACACATAGAAATGGTTAAAGTGGTAAATTTTATGGTATATTTTACTACAATTTAAAAACATAAATGGAAGATGAATATATTTTCCATATGCAATACAAAAAAGTTTCTATGAAGCAATTTGTTAGTGGATTTAATAGTATGCAACTTCACTCCCTAAAAGGTTTGAGACAACTTACAAAAATATATATAGTACAAGCAAATGAAAAAGGAAGTTCATGAGGAAGTTGAGTCTAAAAGAGAACGAGGAGATGAAAGAGATAATGAGGCCCTTGCCTTAACAGAAACTGCCTTGGGAGGGCTGGCTGGTGTGCTCCGTGGGATGGTACAGACAGCTGCTGGGGAGTTGCACAGAGAGGACCCCTTGGAACTCGATGGGCTGTGTCCTGAGACAGCCCCAAGAAGGCTTCCTGGGGATGTTTATCATAGCGTCCGTGAGAGCAGTCCCACCACTTGGAACCGAAGCCATTTCAGAACCAGCAAGGCTGCAGGGCCAAAATAATGTGGTTTGGAAATGGGATTCTTGCATGATTTGACTTAGTACATACAATCACCAGTGGGTCAGTGGGTGAACTAAATCCACTTCAAGCAATCATTGAATATGATTTCCCCCAACAGAGCTTCCTGTGAGTATTTCACAGCAGCGCATTCAACGCACTCCCTATTGAGTACCTGGAGCTCAGACATTCTTTTTGGCAGGTTAAACATAAACTCAGGTAATCTGCTGAGCTGCGCCACGGGTTGATGTTCGCTTCAGAAAGTGGGAAAGCCTGCCAGGACACATGCCCAACAAAAGACGGGCTGCCGAGGGGCGCAGGACACTCCCATGGAAGGGGCAAGATTTTCCTCAAGGGAGTCTCCCTCAACCTAGTCCGGTTCAGGGGCTTCCTGGTAAAATGGAAATTTGAAAAATATATATATATATATTTTCCTCAAGAATCAATTTTGACTTAACCATCAGATAACCTTCAGGCTCTGAAAGCCTACATTATAGAATTGGGCTGTAGTACTTTAGCCCTCAAGAGGTTGTTTTTTTGTTTTTTTAATTTTGTTTGTTTGTATTTATTTATTTTTTTGAGATGGAGTATCGCTCTGTCACTCAGGCTGGAGTGCAGTGGCACGCTCTTGGCTCACTGCAACCTCTGCCTCCCAGGTTCAAGTGATTCTCCTACCTCAGCCTCCCAAGTAACTGTAATTACAGACGTGCACCACCATACCCAGCTAATTTTTTTATTTATAGTATAGAGACAGGGTTTCATCATATTGGCCAGGCTGGTCTTGAACTCGTGACCTCAGCTGATCCACCCACCTCGGCCTCCCAAAGTGCTAGGATTACAGGCATGAGCCACCACGCCCAGCCTGTTTTGTTTTTACAGATAGGGTCTTGCTATGTTGGCCAGGTCGGTCTTGAACTCCTGGCCTCAAGTGATCCTCTCAAAGGATCACTTGCCTTGGCCTCCCAAAGCACTGGGATTACAGGTGAGCCACCATGCCTGGCCAACTCGGAGAGTTTTAAAGCAGGTGTTTTTTAGGTAGAGAAAGTTGCTTTCTTGCTCTTATGTTACAGACAGAATTCCATTCAGTGACTCCTAGTCATGCAGATATTTATTGACCCCCTAATTCTTGGCACTGGGTAAAACAATGAACAAAACAGATCAAGTTCCTGCTTTTGAGGAGCTAATAATCTAGTAGAGCAAGATGGGCAGAAACAAATAAGCAAAGCACGGCAAAAGTCGGGTGTGGATGAATGCACTGAAGGAGACACAACCGTGGCAGGTGGATAGGCAGCCACCGGCGGTCATTGAGGAAACCTTTCTGATAGTGTGAGGCGACGCGGAGAGGGCTTCAGGCAGCAGGAACAGCAAATGCAAAGACCCCAAGGCAGGAGTGGGCCTGGAGCTCAAGGAGGCTTGTATTGCTTGGATCTGCGCAGAGAAGATGGGAGTTGTTAGAGGGTCTTGAACCCGGGGGCGCATTACTTTCCTTAGGTCAGTGGTGACTCCGTTAGGTAGTAACTATATTTGGAAAGGAACCCACCTGTATTTCTCCCAGTTGCAGAGGAACTGTGTGAACATTACTAATGACCTGGTTCACAGTGGTCACATTTTTTCCATCCTTGCTCTGTGCCGTTGGACGCTTCTCCCTGCCGCGCCCCTGCTCTCTCTGCCTTCACTCCCACCTGATCACCCTTGGATCTTTCTTCTCAGTCAGAAAGCCCATCTGCTCTCACGTTGAGGGCTCTGAGATGTCAGTTTTATTTTTCTAGTCCTTGACCTTTAACCCTATAAACAGTTCCATACTTCCAGCCATCTAAGAGACAAAATTCAGGCCGGACGCGGTGGCTCATGCCTGTAATCCCAGCACTTTGGGAGACTGAGGCAGGCCGATCACTTGAGGTCAGGAGTTCGAGACCAGCCTGGCCAACGTGGCAAATATAAAAATTTGTCTCTACTAAAAATACAAAAATTTGCTGGGTATGGTAGTGCACGCCTGTAATCCCAGCTACTCTGGAGGCTAAGGCAGGAGAATTGTTTGAACCTGGGAGGCAGAGGTTGCAGTGAGCCAAGATCGCACCACTGCCCTCTAGCCTAGGCGACACAGCAAGACTCTGTCTCAAAAAAACACAAAATAAAAAGACAAAATTTATATTCAGTTTTTCTACAACCAAAACGATCCTTCTTCCTCACCATCTGGTTGGACACCTCTCCTGCTGCCTCATTTCTTTCCAAGACTCCACAGTTCGCCCAGTCATACTTTTACCAAGAAAAGTGAGGCGAGGCTGGCAGGAGTGCGTGCTCATCTCTCTTCTGCCACTGATTCCCCTGACACCACCCTCCTCTAGTCCTAGGGACACAGGGGTCCCTCTTAATCATGCTGGCCACTTTACCACTCCCTGGTCCTCCCTCTACTGGATTTGCGGAGGCTTTTCTCTGCTAATTAACTTTCCCTCATTTCCAGAATTCTCAGTCATGCTTTTTGAAAGCATATGTACTCTCGAGTGTTCCTTACTGCTTACCGATCCTCGACCCACCATGCCCTGGCTTCCACATCTGCTGTTCAATGGAACCTTGAGAATGTCAGTTGCCTCCTGTACATAAATGAGAAATATCCCTGCTGCATCCCTGCATGTCTTCCTAGTCAGCAAAAACTCAAAGCCAAAACAGAATTCATGATCTCATCCATACCCCTGCTCTCATTCCCAGTCTGCTCACATCTTCAGTGTCCCCTGTCTCAGTGGGGGGCTCCACCAGTCCCCAGGCCAAAGGCCCCAGAGTTGTTCTTGAGTTCTACTTCCCTGTAGAGTCCACCTGCCTCTCTGTCCCTATGCTCGTGGCCTCCTGCTGGACCGTTCAGCAGCGTCACAGTGTGCCTCTCCACCTCCAGGTCTGCTCCTTGCACCTCAGGACCCCTTCCCCAAGTCTGTTAGCTATGCTGTCCTACGAAAAGCTGATACCTCTCTGCCCGACACTGCCCACCCCGCTTCCAGCCTTCCACTGGCATCGTGTCATCCTCTCATCAGCCCCAGCCTCGGGTGCTCTCTGCCTGCTTTTCCAGTTCCATCTCCACCACTAACCAGCCCTCCTAAACTCAACCCTCCCGTGGTCTGAATCCTCACAGTTCTGAGGGCACACCGTGTGGTCTCACACCTCCCTGCTTTTGCCCATGCTGTGAACTTGCCTGAAATCTTTTTCCTGACTAGATCACCTGAATTATTTAGCCTTTAAACTCAGCTCAGGTGTCCTCCAAGGAAGCCTCCTCAGGTCGGCTGGGCTTCCCTCCATATGGCCTCCCTCCAGGCGCTATCACTGCACTACTGAATTGTATTATGTTGCCAGTTATGTTCCTTATGGCTCAGTCTCTTGAAGCCCAGATGCCAGCGACTGGCCCCTGGGAGGTGCTCTGCTGATGCGTGCAGGAGGGAATGAAGTGTCCTCAGTGGGATTCATAACTTCCCTCTGCTCCTGGCTGGTGGCACCTTCTCCTGCATTCTCCTCTGCTTCACCCTCACTGCTCTTTTCCTAGGTCACCCCTGGACCACTGCAGGTGGTCCTTCTAATTGGTTCTCCCTGCCTTTCTTTCTGCTCCCTGAGGCCATCCTCCACACTGGAACCACAGTGACATTTCTGAAATGCCATTCTCCAACTTAACCTGGCCTCTCTCTTTCCACAGTCCCTGATCCAGACTCCTGAGAACAGCACATCTTCTCCCTCCTGCCTCTCCCTCCCCATCTGCTGCCCTCCCTCCCCACACTCTGCCCTGACACTTGACACCTGGCCATGCCCAGCTACTCGCAGTTCCATGCACACACTGTGTCAGGGCCATGGCAAACCCGTCCCCTCTACAGCCCATCCTGACATGGACAACTCCTGCTTTTGTGCTCCCGGTGCCACTTGTACCCACTGGTTACACGCATCTCTTCTCAAACCCAGCACAGCGCGATTCCTGCCACGTTGCAGTTACTTGCTTTCCCAGGCTGTCTCTCCTGCCCATCTGTGAACTGCAAGAACAAAGTCCTTTCAGACCTGGCTAGCAGGCCCCTCCCTGGGCCCCGCACTTGAGAGGGCTTCATTCCCAAAGGGAACATACCACCATTGTACACCCGCTAGGCCTAGGGGGTGGCTAGAAAGTCAGCGAGGTGTGGACAGAGCTTGGCCGCATAGGCTGGGATAGCCATGTGCCTGCACTGCAGTGCGGAACAGGACTGGGGGAAGAGAAGGGGGCGTGGACTGAGGGCCAGGCTGCCTCTCCCTGTGCATTCTGGCACAGAACTCCAAGAAGTCTGAGATTTCTACATGTAAATCTGGCCTTGCAGGCTATTATGAGGTATAATTTGTCAGGATAGACACAGAACAAAGTTCATGTAAGGGTTTGTTCATTTGATTTATAAGTTTTAAAAATCGAAACACATGGTATGCAGACCTCCTTTTATACTCTTGCTCCAGGCCTGTACATTTCAGGAGCAGGCCTGACCCCGGACATACTCGCCTGCTTGTTCATCATGGTGCCAGCAGTACGCGGCCCGCTGCCTGCCACACAGTGCCCAGCCCACAGATTGTGATGAATGAGTGGCAACATCTCTTTGTCACTTTATAGTTTATGAAGACTGTAATTTAAAAAATATATCTTGGAAGGTATATTGGAAGGTAGCTAGTTACTCAGAGATACTTTTTCTGGTAGCAAAGATAACTTAGAAATCTAGCAAAAAGAACTACATAAAGAGAGAGCAGTGCTTCACATTTTGTAGAGTGGTTTATAATTTTCAGAATACTTCTGCATTATAATCTAATCTGGTCTTGACTATTCTAGACCCTAATCTAGTATTCCTGTAATGTGGGCACTGGTAGTCGGTGAGGAAGTGTGTTTCGGAGAGGTTAAGCTGAGCACCCGTGTTCTCAGAATGAGAGAGGCCACACCAGGACCTCCGTGTTTCGTAGCCAATGCTCTTATTTGACAAGGAAAAGGTTTCGGCCATGTTTGGTTTCCCAACAGCCAAATACATTGTAGAAAGTCATTCTTAATCTTTCTTTTTTCAGTGCTTTTCCACATAATGGTCAAAACCTAGGCCTCTCACCCTTTTTGGGGACCCTGAACACTGGAGGGTCATTGCCAGATCTAACCAACCTCCACTACTCCACGCCCCTGCCAGCCTCCCTGGACACCACCGACCACCTCTTCGGGAGTATGAGTGTGGGGAATAGTGTGAACAACATCCCAGCTGCTGTGACCCACCTGGGTATAAGAAGCTCCTCTGGTGAGTATCTCCTGCTTAGCAGTGACCTGGTGGCTTCATCATAGGTGGTCCCCACCCATGTGGCGTGTTCAGTGAATCACTGAATGAGAATGACTGCATCTCAGTTAGAGACGATAATGTACCTTGTTGTATCTCCTGACCCCGCGGACATTTTTCTTGGACGTTTCTGTTTCTCCTGGGTTCATGAGTTGAAACCATTCCCTATCTGCTGAACCTCATTCCCTATCATCCTCACTCGCTCCTCTATCCAGGGACTTGGGGAATAAGACATGGGAGCCAAGAAATAAGCATCCACTCTGCGTTGGCTGAACAGTGTTAGTGGCTCTCATCAACATATGACAGTTTATAATTTAGAGGCCATCTCTCTGGATTCCTCCCATTTTCCATTAGATTTCTAAAGGCAATATTTTGCATTTTAGAAAATTTACAGCGGATATGATGAAAATATTTCTACTTAATATCTGTGTATTAAGTGGAAATCACTCACAGTTCCAGTTAAAGATGCAGCATTAGCTATATAAAGATACTACCCAGAACGAGACTTGGGTGTTACTCTGTGGGTTTGCTTGTCCATATTGAAATTATGACTACATTTGTTTGAAGCCTGACACTCTTTTTTTTTTTTTTTTTTTTTTTTTTTTTTTTTTTTGAGACGGGGTCTCACTCTGTCACCCAGGCTAGAGTGCAATGACAAGATCTCAGCTCGCTGCAGCCTCCACTTCCCGGGTTCAAGCAATTCTCCTGCCTCAGCCTCCAGAGTAGCTGGGATTACAGGCATGTGCCACGATGCCCAGCTAATTGTTTTTGTATTTTTAGTAGAGACAGGGTTTCACCATGTTGACCAGGCTCACCTCCACCCACCTTGGCCTCCCAAAGTGCTGGGATTACAGGCATGACAGTTTCTGTATTTTCTGTGAACTCCTTAAAATGCTTGGTACACACAGATTTCAAAGATGTTTAAGAGATGCTTGAGCTTTCTTTCTGCATGAATTTGTAAAAGCTCAGTTCACAGCTGTAGCTCTAATTATTATCTGAGCCAGCTGGACCACTGACCTCTTTGTGGACTGGTGAGTGGTAGATTTATGTAGGGCTTTATCATAGACATGTTCCTACCTTTAAAAATATAGCAAGTGAAGTCATCTACATGAATTCTAAAAAGACGATAATTTTTTTTTTTTTTTTTGAGACGTAGTCTTGCTCTGTGTCCCAGGCTAGAGTGCAGTGGCATGATCTTGGCTCACTGCAACCTCCGCCTCCCAGATTCAAGCAATTCTCCTGCCTCAGCCTCCCTAGTAGCTGGGACTACAGGCGCATGCCGCCATGCCCAGTTAATTTTTTGTATTTTTAGTAGAGATGGGGTCTCGAACTCCTGACTTCAAGTGATCCACCTGCCTTGGCCTACAGGCGTGAGCCACCAGCAACATACTCTTGTCAATGTCTAGGGCAGGTGATAATCCTCTTACTCCCAGTGGTGCAGTACAGCCCCTGGCCGTAACACTCCTACCCAGAATTGTGTTGTGGAGCATTTCGTTTGGAAGGGATGCTGAGTGACGGTCTCCAGGTGAAAGGAGTGTTTGCTGCCCTTCACTCTGAGATTCATCCATGCAAATCAGAATTCACCACCCAAATGAGAGTGGTCCCCTTCAGGTGGGTCACCTGGAAGTTTCTCTAATGATTGCAGTGATGCTGCCATGGTGCAACACAATCTTAGGTTTGAAGAATTGATTTCAGAGAACACCTTTATTTTTGTTTTTTGGGTTTTTTGGGTCATTTTAGTATCCTTAATAGTAGCAAGTTTTTCATCGACTGAGTCTTGGTTTTGATATTTACACATTTGCTTCATAGGAGAAGCTCTCAAAACCTTTATGCCCAGATTCAGAGTGTGGGCAATTCACGTTCTTGGTGAATCCTCGATGTAGGAAGATATCTAGGGTCCCAGAAGTGAAGCAGCATCAGCACATAGCTCCGCTGGGCCTCAGGGAAGCTGGCGTTTTCTAATGCAGCCTTTGACACTTTGCTTCTAGCTGAAGATCTTATGTTTAGTCACTGGTTGTCTTCTCAAAAAAGCATTATTTCCAGAACATGTTAGAACCGATGTCAGGTTTCTGTATTTTTTTATTATTATTTTTTCTTTTTGAGATGGAGTCTTGCTCTGTCACCCAGGCTGGAGTGCAGTGGTGTGATCTCGGCTCACGGCAAGCTCCGCCTCCTGGGTTCACGCCATTCTCCTGCCTCAGCCTCCCCAGTAGCTGGGACTACAGGTGCCCGCCACCACGCCCGGCTAATTTTTTTGTATTTTTTTTTAGTAGAGACGGGGTTTCACTGTGTTAGCCAGGATGGTCTCGATCTCCTGACCTCGTGATCCGCCCGCCTCGG